AGTGAGTCAAGGACTAAAAAAGCCCGGTGTTTAATGATCTAATTAGCTAATTACCCAGGCCACTTGGCCTTGGGTACAGGGGACCCAGTCACGTGACTGGAAGAAGGCTGGCTTTGCGTATATAAGCCCAACTCCAGACCCTAGAAGGCTAGGGAGCTTCTAAGAGGGATCTGACTACAGCAAAAGGCTAAGCCAGCTTGAGAGAAGTATCTGGGAGACTGGGGAGATGGAAGGTAGCCAGCTTGAGAAGCAGGGCTTGAGCCCCAGATACCAAGGTGGTTTATGTTTAAGTGGTTAGGTCACTGTTTTCTCTTGGAGTTTTTCTACTGGAGAACTGGGAGGTGCCCATAGGTAGAGGTGCTTGGGAGGCACTCCACATCATCAGCAACAGGAGCTAGCCCTGAAGCTAGAGGGGCTGAGGCTCGTGGAGGGAAACTGGAGCCCTAGGAGGGGCTGCAGCTGCTGCAGCTGCTGCTGCTGCTCAGGAGCTGAGTTCTTACACCCAAGGCTCTGGATGTGGCTAGAGGAAAAAGGGGCTAAAGCTGGGATGGCTGAAGCCCCAATGCATGCTCAAGCCTGAAGGGGCACTCTATTAAAAGGGGTAATTCTTGAGGGGGAGCACAGACCCCATGTGGGGTAGACTTATCAGCAAAGGTAAAGCCAACCAGCAAGGTTACTTTCAAGACCCAGAGGTTGTCCCCAAGGGCCCCAGAAGATGACAAAGTCATCATGGCAGGTGAGACTGGAGGTGAGGTGGGGCCTGCAAAGAGCCAGCAGCTGAGTCAGATGATTGGGGGTGGAGGGTTACCAGGTGGCAGACCCCTGAGGCCTGCTGCACACTTTTTTTTTTTTTTTTTTTTAATTTAAGGCCAATCTTAAACACCTTCAGGAAGTCATGAATGCAGACCCTCACCATTAAATAACAGCTATTCTGTGTGTTTAAAGAACAGAATCCATATCCTCCAAACTTCTGCTAAATTTTTTTATTCTTTCACACACATTCATGTTTACAGCATTAAGCATAGATCATTATGCACAACAGACTTTTTTTTTTCAGTTGTCTTTAATACTAAGCAAAGAATGGAACTAAATAGTTGCACCTAGATTGTTACAGCCACCCATCTTTAAAAAAAAAAAAAAAAAAAAAAAAAAAAAAAAAA